CACCGTTTGGATCAGTTTGCCCAGGCGTTACAGACTATTCTGCAGCGCATCGCTCAACCCCAACCGGGGGCACAACAAGTCGATACTGATCCACCGGTCCCTGTTCACATACCCAAACAGGCAGGTTCTTATCACTCCATACGCATGACACCACCCCAAAGGTATAGTAGTGATCCTGACCTTTGTCGTGGGTTTTTGAACTGGATCGATATACATATGGTTATGAACCCACACTCCTTTCCTACTGACAGGTCTAAAATAGCCTTTGTCATTAACCATCTCTCTGGCAGAGCCTCGGCCTGGGCTAAGCCGATATGGGAATCAGGTCCCAACATCACCTACGTACGTTTGACATGCCTAGTAGGATAGCTTCCGCTGGGAGAGCCTTATTACGCATCAAACAAGGCTCCAGAACAGTGGTAGACTATGCAGTATATTTCCATACTCTAATGGCAGAAGTGGCATGGAACAACAATTCTCTGGTAACAGCTTTTTAGGCATAGTTAGCCGATTACCTACTCGATGAGATAGCATCGAGAGATGTACCCAAAGTATTAGATTATCTCATCGACTACTGCATTGTTATAGACAATCGCATTAGAGACAGATGCTCTCAGCGACAGTCTTATAGCTGGATGCATATTCACCCCTTGCCTGTCTTGCCTCCTTGTGGTCCACCACCAGAATCTATGCAAATAGGTACCACTAAACTACCTGAAAAGGAGAAGCAACACAGAAAGAGTGAGGGTTTATGCCTCTACTGTGGCAAAAAGGGGCATGTAAGGAGGATAATTCCCAACTAGCTAACCGAGCGGTCGCATGCACCCTGAGCTCCGATACGGAAAAACCTCGAAACGCAAAATTACCCCAACCGGGGAAACTGTGCAGCACCTGGGCGAGAGCCACACCCGAGATATCAGCCTCTTACTCACCCAGCCATCCAGGCCTAAAATGTCGGATCGATCGGCAGAAACAGAACCGGAGGAGATTCAGCCACACACCTGAAGTGGCAGCGTGGCTCCCCAGCGGCAGTCTGACCCGCAACTGGCCACAAAGTCCATACAGGTGGGGGACCCCACAGGCGCTTGTAGTGGCGAGGAATGGAAAACGGCACAGATTCGCCTCAGTGTCCAATGCTGACAGCTTCCTGCAGTCCTTGGGAATTACTGCTACCACTCCTGCCGGGCCGAACAGACCAGCACATGAGTGGGATGTTGATAATGTAGCAGTCTTTACACCCGTTAACTCATTGGCCCCAGGATGAAACGCCTAACTGAAGGACCTACAGTTATACTAACTTTATGTAACCTTATACTTATGCATTTTGTTTAGTTTGTTTTTTAAGATATGGCTTGCTCTCTCATACTGTAGATCTGTCCTCCAGGACCCTCCGACCTATACAGGTCGCTAACATTCCTACGTAATGCGAAAATATTCACATTTATGGCACAGTGCCCTGTTGTGGTTTTTGGTTTACCATTGAGCGTTGCACTTGTTATTTGGATTTCCTGGTTACTGATATTTGGCTTTGTCTCTTGTTATTCCGTCTCTCTGTTTCCCTTGATTTTGGCTCGTGTTTTGACTATCCATTTTTGCATAATCCGACCATTCTCTGCAATTCTCTCTACTCTGTCCTGTCTGCGTGTTAGGGTTCCCTAGTTAACGTTACACTGGCTTCCCATTGCTCTGTGTAGCACAGAGGTCCCCAGTCTTTGGACTCAGCACTGAGATGTTCATATAGCAGGGAAATCAATTTGGTCTGTGAGGTTTCTGTGAAACATAAGTGTTCAAAGGTGGTCATCTGTTTACTGGCTACCCTCTCTATGTCTTTTTGTTTAGCTAAGTCCCGTATTTGCATGTAACGGAAGTACTCTCAGGACTGAAGTGGTGTAATACTATTTAAGTGCTCGTTTGTGACTACTTTCTTGTTGAGGTATAAGTTTACATATCTGTGAAGTCCAGTGCCTTCCGACCCCTTATAGTCCCTGGCTTGCATGTCCAGTGGGAATGCTCTGTTTCGCAGTATTGTCGTAAGCGGGAGGGGAGTTCTCTCACTGAGTATTTCTGTCTGGATTTGTCCCAAATTTGTATTGTGTTAAGTATCGCCTCTGTGTCCTGGGGATCCATATCTAAAATTGGGGGAGATCTAGACCTGTCATCAGGGACTCAATGTCTACCCATTGTCTTTTTTCTGGTGGTGAGTGCCAGTGGATAAGTTGTCAGTTGTGCTGCCAGATAGTACAGATGTAAGTTTGGTAGGCCCAGTCCTCCCGTGTCTTTGGTCTATATAATAGTGCTAGTCTGGGGTGTTTATTGTGCCAAATGAATGTGTCAACTGCCCTCTGTGTCCCCACCAGGTCTCCCTTGGTGACCCCCACCGGTAATGCCTGGAATAAGAAGAGTAGTCTTGGGAGTATATGCATCTTAATTAACAGTATGAATGCGTCCCAGCAATGAGATCGGTTTGTCCATCCACTGCTCCAGTTCCCTGGTGTGAAGAGAAGCACCTTGACCCTAGGCTTAAGCTACAGATGACCGGATGACCAGTCTGTTTTTATTAAATTAGCTAACTTAGATCATGATATGCTTTGACCTCTACCCTAGTTTCAGAGCCTGGCAAAAATCTCTTTTACTTATGACATTCTTTTTATGTCCTAACTAACTTCATGTTTTTTTTTTTATATATCCCCTAGAGGACAATCACCTGATACCCCTTGCCAATTTACTAGCGACCCTCACTAGCCAAACCCTGTGACAGAACCTACTATTGACTTGACCTCAGTCCCTAACTCCCTATGGGCAACAGGGAAAACGGACACAGACAGACTCTCTGTACCACCAGTCAAAGTGAAATTTTCTGCCAAGAGCAACCCCTCTCTGCCAGAAACAGTATCCCCTCAGCCCAACACAGGAGGATGCCATCTCCCAATCTATTCAAGAGCTACTGCAAGCAGGATTAATTGTCCCTACCAGCTCCACTTATAATACCCCACTGTAGAAAATCGGTCTAGATGAAAATGCTTGTTCTTGGGTAGAACATTGGCTTAAAAACAGAGTACAAAGAGTTGTCATAAATGGTAAATCAAGCCGGACAGAGGTGGCAAGTGGTGTCCCTCAGGGGACCCTTCTATTTAACATGTTTATAAATGATCTTGAAGACCGCATTGAAAGTCATGTTTCAGTGTTTGCAGATGACACCAAACTTTGTAAAACAATACAATGTGAGCAAGATATTACTTTGCTGCAGAGGGATTTAGATAGACTGGGGGACTGGGCACTCAAATGGCAGATGAAATTTAATGTTGAAAAATGCAAAGTTATGCACTTCGGCGTAAAGAATACACATGCAACGTATACCCTTAATGGAAGCGAATTAGGGATAACAACACACAAAAGGACTTGGGAATTGTTATAGACAACAAACTATGCAACAATGTGCAATGTCAATCAGCAGTGGCCAAGGCCAGTAAGGTATTGTCATGCATGAAAAAGGGCATTCATTCTCGGGATAAGAATATCATTTTGCCTTTTTATAAATCACTGGTAAGACCCCATATTGAATATGCTGTGCAATTTTGGGCACCTGTTCTAAAGAAGGATATTATGGTACTAGAAAAAGTGCAGAGGCGGGCTACGAAACTAATAAAAGGAATGGAACATATCAGGTATGAAGAAAGGTTAACAAATTTAAACCTATTTAGTTTAGAAAAACGTCGCCTGAGAGGGGATATGATAACATTATACAAATATATTCGGGGCCAATACAAACCATTGTGTGGAAATCTATTCACAAACCGGACTTTACATAGGACACGAGGCCATGCGTTTAGACTGGAAGAAAGAAGATTTCGTCTAAGGCAAAGGAAAGGTTTTTTACTGTAAGAACAATCAGGATGTGGAATTCTCTGCCTGAGGAAGTGGTTTTATCAGAGTCCATACAGATGTTCAAACGGCTACTAGATGCATACTTGCAAGAACAGAATATTCAAGGATATAATCTTTCAATGTAGGGTAATAACTGCTTGATCCAAGGATAAATCTGACTGCCATTCTGGGGTCAAGAAGGAATTTTTTTCCTAGCTTGTTGCAAAATTGTGCTTCAAACTGGGTTTTTTTGCCTTCTTTTGGATCAACAGCAAAAAACAAATGTGAGGTAGGCTGAGCTTGATGGACGCAAGTCTCTTTTCAGCTATGTAACTATGTAACTAACTATGTAACTATATGTAGAAAGGAAAACCTGTGGGTTATCATATGGTACATAATTTAAGGGTGATTATTGCCATAACCGAACCAATTGCCCCCAGTGTTCCTAACCCTCATACACTGTTGTCACAGATTCCACCTTCTTCTAAGGTGTTTACTGTCATTCACTTGGCAAATGCATTCTTTTCTGTTCCCTTGCACCCAGACAGTCCATTCCTTTTTGGATTTATACATAAACACAAACCATACACATGGATGGTTTTGCCACAAGGTGCTCAAAATTAACCTACCATGTATACCGTGGCAATGGCCCAAATTCTAGACGCTTGGTCAAGGGCAGATGATGTTGTTTTATTACAATATGTTGATGATTTGCTTTTATGTTGCCCAGACCAGAAATCATGTAGAGAGCACACCCTGTGTTTACTAAAATTACTAAAACGCAAGCATGGTGAAAAGCTACAAAAGCCAAACTGCAAGCATGTGTTCCCATTGTTATCTTTTTAGGACACTGTATTTCTCATGGCACAAAACATCTCACAGAAGACATGAAAAACGCAGTTCAGAAAATTAACCCCCCACGCAGCCTAGGCCAGCTATGTATCCTATTGTTGCCCATGGCTTCGCTCTGCAGCAATCTACATGCAGCCCTTTCATTTAACTCCTGAAGCAGAGGAAGCCTTTTACACTCTTAAGTTGCTGGTCACCACAACTCCAGCGCTGGGTCCCCCAGATTACAGAAGACACTTCACCCTGTTTTGCACCAAGCACGCTGGTTATGCAACAGCTGTCCTTACGCAGGACCATGGTGGGAAACAGAGACCCATTTCCTATTACTCTACCAGGTTGGACCCTGTTGCCAGAGGTGCCCCTTCCTGTGTAAGAGTAGTAGCTGCAGTTACTGCCCTACTGGACAAAGACACCGACATTGTCTTAGACAATCCTGTCACCATTTAAAACTTGCATGACATTAACAGCATTCTACCACAAGTTTAGCTGAAACACATACATACTGCAAGGCATCTCAGGATGCAGTGTTCTCTCCTCATGCCTCCAACCGTAACTTTGAAAAGGTGTATGGTGGTGTTAAATCCATCTACATTGCTTCCCCTGGATTTAAGAGAGTGGAGTGGTGATTCTGATCTTTTTGTAAATTCCCTGTCACCAGACGAGTTAGCTGAAGCCCAGGTACCCCATGATTGTGCAGCATTAATGGCACAAGAGAGTCTCCATTGTCTAATCCAGACTTTGAGTTTTTTGTAGATGACTCCAGATATGCTGATGAGAAGGGCAATTTCCACACTGGATATGCTGTAGTCTCTGCACACGAGGTAATAAAAGCTGAACCACTCGCCCCTCACTACTCTGCACAGGAGGCTGAGCTGAAGGCACTCACTGAAGCCTGCCTATGCGTGAATATGAGGAAAGGTGGACAAGACCAACCGCCAAAAACAGACCAAAAAGTTTGTTTTTGTGTGGCATGACTCAGTCACTGTCCTAAACTTTCACCTACAGTAATATCTGATACCAAATCTCCATTTTTTTTGGTTAACAAATGGAGATTTGGTATCAGATATTACTGTAGGTGAAAGTTTAGGATCCAGTGATCATCAGTCAGTGTGGTTTAATATAAGAACAGTGACTGAGTCACGCCACACAAAAACAAAAGTTTTAGACTAAAAAAAACAGACTTTTTTAAAATTAGAATATGTGTAAAGGAATCATTATCAAATTGGAGCAATTTAAATGGAGTCCAAGAGAAATGGGATTATTTAAAAGTTGCACTGCTGAAAGCAACAGAAAATTGCATTAGGCTTGTCAGTAAAAGCAAAAAATTCAAGAAACCACTGTGGTACTCCGCAGATGTGGCCAAAATAGTAAAAAACAAAAAGTTAGCATTTAGTAATTATAAAAAAAACCAGAGTGAGGAAGACAGAATGATCTATAAGATTAGGCAGAAAGAGGCTAAGTACGTTATAAGAGCTTCCAAATCACACACAGAAGAGAAAATAGCACAGTCAGTAAAAAAAGGGGGACAAAACATTTTTTAGATACATAAATGAGAAAAGGAAAGTAAAACAAGGATTAGTTAGATTAAAAACAAAAGAAGGAAAGTATGTAGAAGAGGATAAAGGTCTAGCTGACTGTCTCAATTAATATTTTTATTCAGTATTTACAGATGAAAATGAAGGAAAGAGACCTCAGTTAGGAAAAAGGACAAATGAGCCATTTATTACACGTGAGTTTACAGAGGAAGATGTTTTATTTCAACTGTCAAAAGTAAAGACAAATAAGTCAATGGGACCGGATGGAATAAACCCAAAGTTATTAAAAGAGCTTAGTGGTATACTAGAAAACCATTAACAGATTTATTTAACCAATCATTAACAGGAGTAGTCCCAGAAGATTGGAAGTTAGCGAATGTTGTGCCCATCCACAAGAAAGGTAGTAGGGAGGAGTCGGGCAACTATAGGCCAATAAGCCTTACTTCAGTAGTGGGGAAAGTAATGGAAACCATGTTAAACACATGGGTTTCAAGATCAGAGACAACATGGGTTTACTTCAGGGAGATCATGCCAAACTAATCTTATTGATTTTTTTGATTGGGTAACTAAAATAATAGATCAGGGTGGTGCACTAGACATTTCAGTACGGCTTTTGACACTGTTGCACATAGAAGGCTTATCAATAAACTGCAATCTTTAAGTTTGGATTCCAATATTGTTGAATGGGTAAGGCAGTGGCTGAGTGACAGGCAACAGAGGGTTGTAGTCAATGGAGTATATTCGTGGGGTACCTCAAGGATATGTACTTGGACCCATTCTCTTTAATATTTTTATTAGTGATATTGCAGAAGGTGTTGATGGTAAGGTATGTCTTTTTGCTGATGATACTAAGATATGTAACAGGGTTGATGTTCCAGGAGGGATAAACCAAATGGCAAATGATTTAGGTAAACTAGAAAAATGGTCATAATTGTGGCAACTGACATTTAATGTGGATAAGTGCAAGATAATGCATCTTGGACGTAAAAACCCAAGGGCAGAGTACAGAATATTTGATAGAGTCCTAACCTCAACATATGAGGAAAGGGATTTAGGGGTAATTATTTCTGATGACTTAAAGGTAGGCAGACACTGTAATAGAGCATCAGAAAATGCTAGCATAATGCTTGGTTGTATAGGGAGAGGTATTAGCAGTAGAAAGAGGGAAGTGCTCATGCCATTGTGCAGAACTCTGGTGAGACCTCACTTCGAGTATTGTACGCAGTACTGGAGACCGTATCTTCAGAAGGATATTGATACTTTAGAGAGAGTTCAGAGAAGGGCTACTAAACTGGTTCATGGAGTGCAGGATAAAACTTACAAGGAAAGGTTAAAGGATCTTAACATGTATAGCTTGGAGGAAAGACGAGATAGGGAGGATATGATAGAAACATTTAAATACATAAAGAGAATCAACACAATAAAGGAGGAGACCATATTTAAAAGAAGAAAAACTACCACAACAAGAGGAAATAGTCTTAAATTAGAGGGGCAAAGGTTTAAAAATAATATCAGGAAGTATTACTTTACTGAGAGGGTAGTGGATGCATGGAATAGCCTTCCAGCTGAAGTGGTAGAGGTTAACTCAATAAAGGAGTTTAAGCATGCGTCGGATAGACATAAGGCTATCCTAACTATACGATAAGGCCAAGGGCTAATGAATGTATTTAGAAAATTGGGCAGACTAGATGGGCCGAATGGTTCTTATCTGCCGTCACGTTCTATCTAAAGCAGCCTCAGGAAAATCCTATGTAACTGCCCTTAAAGGACCACTCTAGGCACCCAGACCACTTCAGCTTAATGAAGTGGTCTGGGTGCCTGGTCCAGCTAGGGTTAACCAATTTTTTTTATAAACATAGCAGTTTCAGAGAAACTCTTGCCGCACGTGCGCATTCAGTCCAGGAGGAGGAGAAGAGGAGGATCGGAGGAGGAGAGCTCCCCGCCAAGCGCTGGAAAAAGGTAAGTTTTAACCCCCTTTCCCCCTTCCAGAGCCGGGCGGGAGGGGGTCCCTGAGGGTGGGGGCACCCTCAGGGCACTATAGTGCCAGGAAAACGAGTATGTTTTCCTGGCACTATAGTGGTCCTTTAAAGATTGGGCTAAAGTAAAAACCGTAGAACTGGCCCACACGCTAGGAGATATTATACAGGGGTCTGTTGAAAAATTCTTTGTCAGACTGCAAATAGCTTGGAAGCCACTGGGCTATACTGAAACCGAAGTAACATCCACTAAATTGTTAATTAATTGTTTCATGAATGGTCTCCCTGTTCCTATAAGAACAGGATCCAGAATGCTAGACCAGAATGGAGAAGCCTTAATTACAGGGATTTTTTTAAAGTGGCTATGGGAGTAGAAGCCAATCTAAATAATAGGAGCAAAACAACACCTCTTATGGCATTGATTTCCCCCAGATTAAGTACAGAAAGAAGACAGGTTGAGTGTTGGAATTGTGGGAGAAAGTGACATATTAAGCGCTGTAAATGTCCTCCTAAAAATAGGAACCAGCAGAACAATTCTGACAACTCTCATGACATTCAGTTTCCACCACCCTTGCCCCAATAGGAAATTGACAACCCAGTGTCCCTGCACACTTTAACTATTCCTGATGGAGCCGGACCCTCTCCTACTGTTAATATTACATCTGCTAGACAATGGGGCAGTCCGTTCTTTGTGCAGGAGAAATATATTTTCCCCTATGAGAAATTTAATGATGTTTTATCATGTGTAGGTGGGACCCCTGCAGAAATCTATTTAACCCATCAGATGAAGCTCTATGACTTCTCTCGTTACCAGATTGCTTGTCAGCCCTAATGGCCCTGTTAACTTGCTAGGCAGTGATGTTTTGTCTGCTATTAATGCCAACATTCCGTTTAGTCCGTCTGGAGAGGTATCAATGTCCCTGCCCCTAGAGGACAATCACCTGATATCCCTTGCCAATTTACTAGCGACCCTCACTTTGCCCAACCCTGTGACAGAACCTACTATTGACTTGACCTCAGTCCCTAACACCCTATGGGCAACAGGGAAAATGGATACAGACAGACTCTCTGTACCCCCAGTGAAATCCTCTGCCAGGAGCCACCCCTCTCTGCCAGAAACAATATCCCCTCAGCCCAACACAGGAGGATGCCAATCTATTTAAGAGCTACTGCAAGCAGGAGTAATTGACCTTACCAGCCCCACTGTACCCCTTTGAAAAAAAACAGGAAAAAGGAAAACCTGTGGTTTATCGTATGGTACCTAATTTAAGGGCGATTAATGCCGTAACCTAACTAATTGCCCCCAATGTTCCCAACCCTCATACACTGTTGTCACAGAGTCCACCTTCTTCTAAGGTGTTTACTGTTATTGACTTGGCAAATGCATTCTTTTCTGTTCCCTTGCACCCATACAGTCAATTCCTTTTTGCATTTATACATAAACACAAACCATACACATGGACGGCTTTTCCACAAGGTGCTGAAAATTAACCTACCATGTATAGCGTGGCAATGACCCAATTCTAGAAGCTTGGTCAAGGGCAGAGGATGTTGCGTTATAACAATATGTTGATGATTTGCTTTTATGTTGCCCAGACCAGAAACCATGCATAGTGTACACCCTGTCTTTACTAAAATTTCTAACACAAGCGGCGTGCAAAGTTACAAAAGCCAAACGGCAAGCATGTGTTCCCATTGTTATCTTTTTAGGACACTGTATTTCTCATGGCACAAAACATCTCACAGAAAAATACAGTTCAGAAAATTAACCCCCCACGCAACCTAGGCCAGCTATGTATCCTATTGTTGCCCATGGCCTTGCTCTGCAGCAATCTACATGCAGCCCTTTCATTTAACTCCTGAAGCAGAGGAAGCCTTTTACACTTGTAGCGGAGATACAATATTCCACAGATTATCTCCGCTTAAGATCCCAGTGAGGCGCAGGAACAAGTAATTATAGATCCACAAGGCAAGGTTTCCAGCAGGTAAAATAATCCAACAGTATCCCAACAGCAATCCCAATAACTGGACGACACACAGCATCAGGAGCAGAACTGAAAACCTTTATTCCACAGTGGCCTTATAAAGCATGCTCCCATGCAAGGGAGGGACTTTCATCAATTATTACAGTACCCAATCCGACAATAGTAACCTCCCACACATCTCCTCCCCTCAGCTTGACTCATAATCCCCTTATACTGTACACAAATTCCCCCAGTTTCTGGATGTACCCCTAAACCTAGGGGTACCCCTTTAAATGGCACATCCCCTGGTAGCCCTGATCTGGGTGAGCAACATATCCAAAAATCACCCAGATCCGACCAGGGGTTCGGGAAATTTATGGAAGTACTAAAAAGACCGACCGCGCTGGAGAGAACAGCCGAATTGGGTTCCATGCGATGGGGCCCTGCGGTCGGTCCCAGTATAAGGGAATAAATTACACGAAAGGCTAAGGCTACAGAGATCAGGTAGGGTTCGCATGAATCCCCTCGTTCGGTTGTTTCTGTCTACCGAACGAGGGACCGTTCGGTAGTTTGGAACCGAACGGACCGGGCTTGTGGAGGTCTCAGCGGTGTTCGCCTAGTCGAGTGTCCGATTTGGGTTCCAGACACTCAACGGCAAAACACCGCTGCTCAGGAGTTTTAAAATGGCTGCCACCACGTGTTCGTTTTCCGAATGGTGGCCACCCCAAGAACAAAGGACCTACTGCATAGCTTGTTAATTACCCGTTCACAACATTGTTGCAACGGGTAATTGAAGGCACACTTCATACAGGGGAGGTCTGATTGTTCGGTAGTTTCATTCCCTTAGTTTATTCAAATGATTCTACCGAACAATCAGACGAATACACTTTATTTAAACACATACAAAACCAGCAGTTTACACGAATGCAGTTATACACATGTAATTTTCAGGACAGCCCAGTGTTATCCGCTACACTGCTCCCCCTTGCCCACAGTCGGTCCACCATGCTCTGGAAAGTAGCTGGGGCGTTTTTCATCCCAAATGGCATGACCTTAAACTTGTACAAACCAAATGGGGTGACAAAGGCCGACTTAGGGATGGCATCTGGGGCCAGGGGAATTTGCCAATACCCCTTACATAAGTCAATAGTAGTGAGGTATCGGCCCCTGGCCATCCTGTCTAGTAGTTCATCTATCCGTGGCATAGGATAGGCATCCGACACGGTTTTCTTGTTCAATCTCCTGTAGTCCACGCAGAAGCGAGTCGTACCGTCTCGCTTTGGTACGAGCACTACAGGGAAAGCCCAGGGACTGTCTGAGGGCTCAATCACCCCCAGTTGGAGCATCTCATCTATCTCCTTGCGCATATTTTCCCTCACCGCTTCAGGGATGCGGTAGGGGGTCTGGCGCATGGGTAGTTGCCCTGGGGTCTCTACCCAGTGAGTGGCCAGAGGGGTGTAACCAGGTACATTAGAGAACGTGTCTTGTTTCTCTTCCAATAGCTGCTGTACCTTGATACACTCCTGTGGGCTCAGTCGGTCTCCCAGCGAAACCTCCCCTAAATCTCCAGACAACTGCCCATCTCCCAGCAGATCTGGGAGAGGTAAGCTGTCAAACTCGTCAGAGTTGGGCGCACATATGGCGGTTACCTCCTCGGAGCGCTCCTGGTAGGGCTTCATCATGTTCACATGGAGCATGCGTCGCCCTCTAGTCCCTGTGCAGGGGCCGATTATATAGGTGGTGTCACATCTCTGTTCCACCACCCTATATGTTCCCTGCCAGGCGGCCTGTAGCTTGTCATGTCAGACAGGTTTTAAAATTAACACTTTCTGCCCGACCTGAAAGCTACGGTCCCTGGTTCCACGATCATACCACATTCGCTGGCGGGTCAGCGCCGCCTGAAGGTTTTCCCTTACCGTGCTAGTCAAAGCTTCCAGGCTTAATGCCACAGATCCTCCAGAGGTTTTGGGTGAATTCTGCGGTAAATTGGGTACCCTGATCCTAGATAATCTCCCTGGGTAATCCCATCCGGGAGAAGATCCGCATGAGGGCATCCACCACCGTTTCAGCGTGGATGTTGGTCAGAGCCACTGCCTCTGGATATCTAGTTAAAATGTACCTTTTGCCTGACGGGCCAGCTTTCTTGAGGGGGCCTATCAAATCTAACGCTACTCTACTAAAGGGTTCCTCAATTATGGGTAGGGGGTGTAGTTTCGCCTTCCTTCGGTCTCCCCTTTTCCCTACCCTCTGGCAGGTATCGCACGTATTGCAATACCTGCACACTTCCTGGCTGATCCCTGGCCAGAAGAAACTTTGTGTCAGTCTGTACCTAGTACGACTGACCCCTAAATGTCCAGATAGCGGAATATCATGAGCTATCCGGAGTAACTCTGCTCGGTACCGCTGCGGCACCACTAGCTGCCTCATCACTATCGGGTCTGACCCAGCTATCTGCTTGTCCGACTCCCTGTATAGAAGCTGCTTGTCCCAGACAAATCTCTCTCCTTCCCCCCTGGATGAGTCAGTGACAACCTTGTCCCTATATACTTGCAGCGTAGGGTCATTTACTACTTCAGCTGCGAATTCATTAGGTGGGGCCCAGGGGACACATTCTAAGGAAGGGGAAGGGTCTCTTACCTGAACCTCCGGGAGTGTGTTGTAGTCCTGGGTGCGGGCCTGTTGTCGGGTGGCCACAGGGTGAGCTTCTCCTGTGGTTGGTGTCTGGGGCTCAAAAGCAGATGTGAGCCTCCCCAGATCGTTCCCCAACAAAACATCCGCCGGTAATTGCGGCATCAACCCCACCTCCACGTGTCCTGACCCCGCTCCCCAATGCAAATGTACCCTTGCTGTAGGTAGCCAGTACACTGCTCCCCCGACTACCATGACGGCTACAGTTTTACTGAGCTTAACCTGATCCGAGACCAGGTAACTTTTTACCAGGGTGATTGTAGCTCCTGAGTCACGTAGTCCTTGGACCGTTTTACCCTCCAAGTATACAGTCTGTCTATGGTGCTGACGATTATCAGCATTGGCGTGGACTGGATCGGCTTCGTGCAATACTTCCCACTGTTCCACGGTGGTAATGGGCACTGCTGAACCATACGGTGTTGCAACTATGTCCTGGTAGCAGTGTGCTGTGGCCGCTCTTGGTGGTGGTGGTGGGCCTGGTCGGATCCAGGTGGAACGATCCCGTAGTTGTGGGCATTCTCTTTTATAATGCCCCCATTTCTGGCAGTGATGACAGGGCCCAGAGCTCGGCTGGTGAAACCGTGGCTGTACAGCGGGCGGTGGTGGCTGTGGTAGTTGCCTCGGTGGTGCTGTAGTTGGTTCCCCCAAAGGTTTTCCATGGGGCTTTTGGAACTGCAGGTTTTTGTTGCTTGCGTGCGTCCCTTCTTAGCAGCTTCTGTGAGGGAGGTAGGGTTTCGGTCCCTTACCCACTCCTGGACATCTGCTGTCACCCCATCATAAAATTGTTCCATTAGCAGCATTTGTATCATGTCCTCCATGGACCGTGCCTTGCTAGCTTGCACCCACCCAAGCGCTGCCCATTGTAACCTGCACGCCCATTCTGCATGCGAGTCCTTCTCCACTTTCTTTAAATCCCAGAATCTCCTCCGGTATGCCTCTGGTGTTATAGCATACCGGGCCAGTATAATCTCTTTCACTTTACTGTAATTCCTAATTTCTTCATCTGGCACAGTACGATACGCCTCTGCTGCCCTCCCAGTTAACCGTCCTGCCAAAATAGGTACCCAGTCCTCTGCGCTGATTTTATGCAGTGCACACAGTCTTTCAAAATCTTGCAGGAAAGCGTCTATATCTTCCTCTGCCTCCACATACGTTTTAAAAGCCTGATACGGTATTTTAGGCTTACCTTCCTGTGGCATGTTTACTGTAGAGCTGCGTTCTGGGGTTGTTGTTGTCCGTTGCCTCAGTATGAATTCCTGGACCTCTGTCATGGTCCTGGAAATAATTTCCGCTGAAGGGTGTTCTCCATAAAAAGACAGCCTAAATTGTAACTGTCTCTGGAACTCCATTTGTTCCTGTGTTTCCCCCGAATCCACCTGTTCGGGAACCGAACCGCCATCCATTCGTTACTTTGCCATGAGTTCGGTAATAAGTACCGCTTTCTTCTTGTTGCTGGCTTGAATACCCCTTGCCTCTAGGAGGTCCTTTAATGTGGAGCGTTTTAGTGTAGCAAAAATCAATCTCCATCCGTACTCCATTTGTGCTTGTTCCTCTGTGAGTCTGGATCCCAGCGCTGCCAACCAATGTAGCGGAGATACAATATTCCACAGATTATCTCCGCTTAAGATCCCAGTGAGGCGCAGGAACAAGTAATTATAGATCCACAAGGCAAGGTTTCCAGCAGGTAAAATAATCCAACAGTATCCCAACAGCAATCCCAATAACTGGACGACACACAGCATCAGGAGCAGAACTGAAAACCTTTATTCCACAGTGGCCTTATAAAGCATGCTCCCATGCAAGGGAGGGACTTTCATCAATTATTACAGTACCCAATCCGACAATAGTAACCTCCCACACATCTCCTCCCCTCCGCCTGACTCATAATCCCCTTATACTGTACATAAATTCCCCCAGTTTCTGGATGTACCCCTAAACCTAGGGGTACCCCTTTAAATGGCACATCCCCTGGTAGCCCTGATCTGGGTGAGCAACATATCTAAAAATCACCCAGATCGGACCAGGGGTTCGGGAAATTTATGTAAGTACTAAAAAGACCGACCGCGCTGGAGAGAACAGCCAAATTGGGTTCCATGCGATGGGGCCCTGCGGTCGGTCCTGTGATAGAATTTATCTTGATTCCAAGGCTCAAGCTTATAGGTGTCATATAATGATATCCTGTATTAAAATTGGCTAACTTGGACTCAGGAAATGCTTGATGCTTAAACAACACTTAAGACCATATATGTCTAAGTTCCGGTAGCAGAGAGCCCCCACCTAAGATGTCTCTGCTCTAATCATTTTGTTCTCTCTTACCTTGAAACTTATTTGTTATGTGTACATGACGCTCATCCCTATGTCTTATCTGTACTCTCTTCCTATTACTGTTCTAAGAGTATTTGCACGTAAGCACTTACTTTTTAATGTATAAAACCCAGCTGATGAATAAAACGTCAGAGGCTTATTTTGAATACCAACAGGTGTCTGGTGTCTAATTCTCGCTTCTCCAAGTGCACTTGTAACAACAATTTGGGCTTCCTCTGAATATAACAAAGATCAACATTTCTGATCCACAACAATTTGGTGCTGTGACCCCGGGATCTGACGGTCGAGAGACTCGGACACTAGTGTACAGGTGGACGTCCCTCTGACAGTGAAATCAGCTGCAGCAAGGTAAGAAAAACTTTTTTTCTACCTTTATAAATTTCGCTCTCAGATCCACATCCTACTAGTCTGTCTGGGTAAAGAACGACTTAAAAACGTCTGATCTAAAGAACTTGTTTTCTGTGGTATTATTGTTATATTTAGGTGGAGGTTGTGTTATGTCTTGTGAAAGGAATCTTGAGATAGTGGAATATATCTGTGGGTTGTAAGTTATTTTGTTTGCTTTGTCATTTGTTTTATAATTGAGTTAGAATCCTCCAAGGGCAGATCTCCTGATCTGTGTTTAGAAGACAAAACTGGGAAAATTCCACTGCAGCGGTCCTAAGTGTCAAATACACTGTTTTTGTACAGTTTGTCTTGTGTAAGGAAGTAATTAACCCTTACAGGTTTTAAGATGGGTAGCTCTGAAAGCACCCAAGGGGGATTTACGGCTTTGACTATTGTCAAGCATCACAAAGGACAAGGAGCAATTAATAATGTTAAGAGGTTACTTAAGAAAGCTGGCATGCCCTCAGAGGGCACTCTAGACCCACATATATGGAGAGAATTTATGGCAAATAATGACTTAGTAGAAGTCGCACAAAAATGGCATGATACTGCTGTTGAATTAACTAAATGTGGTTGTAGAGAAACCACCAGGAAAGGTGTACCATATTATTAATGTTTTGGACCTCTAGGGTCCCAGAGTAGGCAAGATCCTGGGAAAAATCTTGTAAACCCACCCCTTTACCAGGATACTGCAGGGACTCCTTTGGTCCCAAAAGACAAGGCGATTTCCCTTTTACGGAGATCAAAACCTCTCTTTCCAGTAATATTACGCAGTGGGACTTCATATGGTGTCCCAGTAAGACCTATGGGTTCATTAGAGCAGGAAGGTAGTCCAGACTTAAAGGAACCCCTAGTTGCCCCCACAGACTCCCCAGTGGGGCCATTAGCTCCACAATTTTCTACTCCCATGATACCGAAAGTTGAGAGTGTATACCATGAGCACAGACAGCCGAGCTCAGGTATCCAATACTGGGAAGAATATAAGCCCTGGACACCCAGTGAACAACTGGCAATAATACAGCAGCTGGCAGATGTTGAAAAGGCCCCTTTAGCTCTAGTCCAGTCTCTATCCACAATTTAAGCTACTTACCAATGTACTTGGATGGATTTAAAACAGATTGTAGCACTAAAAGCTGGTCCCATTTGGGCTAGAATAATTGCTAAATATATAGATGCCCATGAAGATAATCTCAGAAAAAGCAACATGCAAACAGATGAATGGTTTAGAACCAAGTCTGCATCTGGAGCATGCTATGTCACTGCAATGAGAGAATGGGCTAAGGTAAAGACAGAAGAACTAGCCCATAAACTAGGAGATATACTACAAGGGAAAGATGAATCTGTAGAAGCATTCTTCACCAGACTACAAATGGCTTGGGAAGCATTGGGTTACACTGATGTTGTAACCACTTCCACCAGACTGCTTATTAACTGCTTCATGGATGGTATCCACATACCCATAAGGACTGGTCTCCAAAATGCTAGACCTGAGTGGAGAAGTTTAACCTATGGTGATCTGGTGAAGGTGGCTAGGGGAGTGGAAGCTAATCTAATTACTAGAAAGAGGAGCACACCTCTAATGGCTGTAACTGTCCCTAGAGCTGGTGGAGACAGAAGGCAGGTAGACTGCTGGAATTGTGGCAGGAAAGGACACATTAAACGTAACTGCAAGTGTCCTTCTAAAAATAGAAAAACCCAGGATTCTAATGATAACTCCCATGACAGCCAACCACCACCACCACCTCCCCCCCAATAGGAATTTGGCAAACCAGTGTCCCTACATATCATAAATATCCGACCGAATAGTCCCTTTCCTGTTGGACACTGGCGCTGCTAAATCAATGTTACAGGAAAAATATGTGTTCCCGTATGAGAAATCTAATGATGTATTATCATGTGTAGGGGTGGATGGTATCAAAAATGACATTCCCCTTACCCACAAGCTGAAATTGAAGCTACTTGTCAGCCCTCATGCCCCTGCTAATCTACTAGGCAGTGATATACTGTCTGCTCTTAGTGCAAATATCCAGTATAGCCCCACTGGAAAAGTAACATTGTCTATGCCTTTAGAGGACAAACAAATGATATCTCTTTCAAATGTTCTGGCAACTCTCACTATGCCCAGCCATGTGCCAGATCCTACCATTGACTTGTCCTCAGTCCCTGATTCCTTATGGGCTACAGGGAAGACAGATACAGGCAGATTCTCTGTGCCCCCAGTCAAAGTGAATCTCCTGCCCGGAGCCAAACCTCCCTATCAAAAACAATACCCCCTAAGCCCAGCACAGGAAGATGCTATTTTGCAATCTGTGCAAGATTTTCTGCAGGCAGGGGTAGTTGTCCAGACCACCTCCCCTTGTAACACACCATTGTACCCAATTAAGAAAAAGCAAGAGAAAGGGAAACCTGTGGTCTACCGTATGGTACATGATTTGAGGGCAATTAATGCTGTAACTGAACTCATTGCCCCTAATGTTCCCAACCCACACACCTTGTTGGCACAAATACCACCTTCCTCTAAGGTATTTACTGTTATTGACTTGGCAAATGCATTTTTCAGTGTCCCCCTGGCTCCCGACAGTCAGTTTTTTATTTGCATTTACACATAAACACAAGCAGTACACTTGGACAGTATTGCCACAGGGCACACAAAACTCACCCGCTATGTACAGCATGGCTATGGCCCAGATTCTTGAAGAATGGAAAAGGCCAAATAACGTAATTTTATTGCAGTATATCGATGACCTACTCCTATGTTGCGATAATATGGAATCTTGTATTGTAAACACTCTTTCCTTACTGAAGTTCTTGGCAGAGGCATACTGCAGTTCAAACTATTACGTCAACCCCCCCCTCCCCCCCTCAGCCTAGCCCAGCTACGATTCATACTGCCGACCTTGGCTTCCACAGCAATCTACATGCAGCCCCTGTATGAGTATCTCGCCAACGAAAACAAACCATTTAAATTAACCCATGCGGCAGAAAATGCCTACTGTTACTGCCACTGATATTGTTTTAGATAATCCGGTGACCATATACACACCGCATGATATCAACAGCATACTCTCACAAGTTCAACCAAAACACATACATACTGCAAGGCATCTCAGAATGCAATGTGCCTTGCTTATGCCACCTAATGTTACTCTTAAAAGGTGTATGGTGTTAAATCCATCTACATTGCTTCCCCTGGATTTAAAAGAGGGGAGTGGGGATATTGTGAATGGTACTTGTACTTCTGATCTTTTTGTAAATTCACTTTCACCAGATGAGTTAGCTGATGCCCAGGTACCCCATGATTGTGCAGCACTAATGGCACAAGAGACAGCAGGTTTTTTGCATGTATTTGATTCTCCATTATCTAATGCAGATTTTGAGTTTTTTGTAGATGGTTCCAGATATGCTGATGAGAAGGGTAATTTCCACACTGGATATGCTGTAGTCTCTGCACATGAGGTAATAAAAGCTGAACCACTCGCTCCTCACTGCTCTGCACAGGAGGCAGAGCTGAAGGCACTCGCTGAAGCGTGTAAAATGGCTTCTGGTAAGACTGCTAATATTTATACAGACTCTCGCTATGCTTTTGGTATAGCCCATGATTTTGGCCCTATATGGCGGGCTCGTGATTTTCTCACCTCAGCAGGAACTCCAATCAAGAATTCTGAAGCCGTGAGTGCACTTATGGACGCTATCCTGCTACCCACTCAAGTAGGCATCATCAAGGTGGCAGCTCACGTGAAGATCACAGATGAAATCTCAAGAGGAAACCACAAAGCAGACGAAGCTGCCAAGCAAGCAGCAATCCAAGTTCATCCCTCTACAGGTAATACCTTCCTACAAGTTGTTCTTACAGATGACGCCGTTGACTACAATATACTGTTGAGCTTACAAAGACAGGCAAGCAAGGAAGAACATGACCTCTGGAGGAAACAAGATGCAGAACCTGATGATGACAGAATGTGGAGGAAAGGTAAAAGACTGTGTTTACCACGAGTGTTGTACCCCATGATGGCCCAGATTGACAATGGACCTACACATCTATCCAAGATGCACATGAACAGCATAGTAAACACCCATTGGGTAGCACATGGATTTACTGTTGTAGCAGCTAAACACACCCAAGCTTGCATGATTTGTGCTAGAAACAATCCAGGACAAACTGTGAAAACACCAAGTAAGCACACACCAAGGCCACTTTACCTGTTTCAAAGACTGCAGATAGACTATATTCAACTGCCTAAGGTAGGAGTGTATGAATATGTGTTGGTGTGCATTGATCTCTTTTCAGGTTGGCCTGAGGCCTACCCAGTGTCGAAAGCCACAACGAAGGTCACAGCAAGTAAGCTTCTGAAGGAACTGGTATGTAGATATGGAGTACCTGAGGTGATTGAAAGTGACAGAGGTAGCCATTTCACTGGGGAAATAATGCAAGAAATTATGAAAGCCTTAGGGATCACTCAGGCCTTCCACACCCCCTATCACCCCCAGAGTAGTGGGAAAGTAGAAAGGGCAAATGGCACCTTAAAGAACAAAATTGCAAAAGCCATGCAAGACACAGGGAAGCCCTGGACTAAATGCCTTCCCCTAGCACTCTTTTCTTTTTTTGAATTTGACAATTTTTATTTTTTCAGGTAACGTGGGGTACAGAAAAGAAAGGGGGTGGGGGAAAAGACACATTGCAATTCCACTATTCTTGAGTTGCAGGAGGGGTACAGAAGAAAATAGGGGGGGAAGGGAGGGGGTGAGGTAGCCCTGTGTTAACGGTTGCGTACATAGTGTTGGTTCTGTTGTTTGTTTAGCCAGGTAGTCAAATTATATTTTGGGGGGTGTGATATTATGACCTCGGTGCAGAGAGGTGTTGATCCGTGTTGCGTAGTGTTTGTCTGTGCTATTTACGGGGTTGGTTTGGTTTTTTCCCACCTTTCCCATGCTTCGAGCCAGTATTGAGGGTGTTTTTGTGTGTTCCTGGCCATAATTTCGTACGTTTTGTTACTGTTTATGATTGTGATGCATTGGGTGATCGTGGGGGGGGGGAGGATTGTTTCCAGTTTCTACTTATGCTGGTGAGCGCGGCTATTATGATGTGGTATATTAAATATTTCTGGTGTTTGTGCGGTGTTTGTGGCAGTAGGAGATGTAAGTATGTTTCTGGTTTATGTGGTAGTTTGAGATCCGTGTGTTTAGTGATTAGGTGTGCTATTTGTTGCCAGAATTGTCGGATCTCTTCGCATTGCCACCATATATGCAGCATAGTACCTCTGTCCTTTTGGCATCTCCAGCATACATCTGACATGGTGGGGAAGCTATGTTTAAGGCGTGTGGGAACCAGATACCATCTGTAAAGGATTTTGCGAGTCAGCTCCAAGTGGGTCGTGCAGAGGGTGAGTTGTTTGTGTGCTTTGAAGATGTTGTTCCATTGTTCTTTGGTGATCTGATATCCAATATCTTTTTCCCAGGCTGTTATGTAAGATGGGGGACGTTGTTTGGGTTGAAATCCTTCTGATGTGTATATTGTGGAGATTAGCTTTTTGGTTTGTTTGGTTGCTGTACATATTTGTTCTATGGTTTGCCAGCTTGTGGCTTTTCTCTCGGTGGGTTTTTGTTTGGATTGTAGGGTGTGCCAGGATAATAGTTGTCTGTACGAGAATAGCACTGTGTTCGGTAGCTGATATTCTGTTTGGAGTTCCGAGAACGGTTTCATGTGGGAGTCCCTTGTCAGTTGTGACAGAGTTTTTATTCCATGTCTCTGCCAGATTTCGTAGTTGAAGTCTGGTATAAGAGCTTTTATTGACTCTAATGGGAGGGCGGGGGAGTACAGGGCTGTGTTGCCCATGCTTTTCCGGTAATTGTCCCATATTGAGATGGTGAGCTTGGTCGTGGGTAGCATCCCGGTAGTTTTGGGTCTTTGCGGTTTTGGTATCCAGGCTAGCGCTGGTATGGAAAGACCGTCTGTGTAGTTTTTTTCTATTTCGACCCACGTTGGGGGTTCATGTTGGTGTGATGCTGCTAGTAGGGGGGCTATGTGGGCTGCCTTGTAGTATCTCCGAATATCCGGTAGTCCCATCCCTCCTTTGGCGAATGGGTTGTGCATTGTGGCTTTTGCCACCCGTGTTTTTTTATTTTCCCAGATGTAGTCCTTGATGATATTCTGTAGGTCACGAATGTATTTGTGCGGTAATGGTATTGGTAGGGTTCTGAATAGATATTGGATTTTCGGTATAGCTACCATTTTGACAGAGGCTATTCTGCCTGCCCAGGAGACGAATTTCCCCTTCCAGCTTTGTAGAAGAGTTTTGACTTCGCTTTGTAGTTTGAGGTAGTTCGCCTTGAAAAGTGAGTTTGGCGTGGGGGTAAAATTCACTCCCAAAAATGTTATATGGTCTTGCCTCCAGTTGTACGTGTAGTTGGCTTTTAACGTTATTATGTCTTGAGCTGGAACATTGATCCCTAGGGCTAGCGTTTTTGATATATTTAGCTTGTAGTAGGAGCTGCGGCTGTATTGGGTATGAAGGTGATGGAAATTTGGAAGGGATATATGGGGTTGTTCTAGGGTGAGAAGGATGTCGTCAGCGAACAGGGATAGTTTGTATTCCTGACCTTTGAGCTTGACTCCATGTATGTTGGGATTTTCCCTAATTAATTGGATTAGGGGTTCTAATGCTAGTATGTATAGCAGGGGGGAGAGTGGGCAGCCTTGTCTGGAGCCGTTTGAGATGGAGAACGGTTTGGATATAAAGCCTCCATTCACCACTCGGGCTGTTGGGGCTGAGTAGAGTGCCGTGATCAGTGATAGGAATTGAGGTGGGAAGTTAAATCTTCGGAGGACCTCGAGGAGGAAGGGCCAGTGGAGCCTGTCAAAGGCCTTTTCGGCGTCTAACGAGAGTAGTATTGTTGGTGCCCCTCCTCCCCGCATTCCGTGTAGCATATTGAGGATTTTGCGTGTGCCGTCTGCTCCCTGTCTGCCCCCCACGAACCCCACTTGATCTCTTCCGATCAGGGTTGGGATGATGGTTGTTAGTCTGTTTGAGAAGATTTTAGCGAGGAGCTTCACGTCTGTGCTCAATAGGGATATTGGGCGCAGATTTTGGCTTCTATCTGGCGGCTTCCCTGGTTTTGGGAGGGTGGTGACATGTGCCATCAGCATTTCCCGTGGCATAGTTCCTGTGGCCAGGACATAGTTGAATAGTTTTTGCAAGTAGGGGGCCAGGAGCGGTGCAAATTGTTTGTAATATAGGTTGGTTAGCCCGTCAGGGCCTGGTGATTTCCCGGGTGGGAGGGCTTGTATGGTATCTAAGAATTCTTGTGTGGTTATTTGGTCTTGTATGGATTGCGCTTGGGTCGGGGATAGTGTTGGCAGACTTGCCTGTTGTAGAAGTGTGTTTATTTCTTGTGAGGTAGGTTGGTGAACAGTAATGTCGTCCTTTAGGTTATAAAGATTTTGGTAGTAGTCAGCCATTTCATCATTGATGTCCTGAGGGTGTAGTAGCTTCTCTCCGGTTTTGGCTATTAGGTATGGTATTTTGGAGTTAGCTTGCTTTTGCTTAAGCATCGTTGCTAGGTATTTCCCTGCTTTGTTGCCCTGTGTGTACGTTTTCATTTTTAGTTTGGTGAGCATGTAGGCTGTTTTGTCAAGGTTTAGTTGGTTGATTTGGGTGGTAATGGTTTTGATGGTTTCTCTGTATGCGTCTGAGGGGTTCAGGAGATGTGCTGAGGTCGTGTCCCTGAGTGTCTTCAGCAGGTTTATGAGTTCACTTTCTCTTTTACGTTTCAGGTAGGCTGCCCTGCTGACTAGTGATCCCCTCATGACCGCTTTGTGGGCCTGCCAGAGGGTCCCGGCGGATATTTCTGGAGTATCGTTTAGTGCAAAGTAGTCTTGTAGTTGTCGGGTAAGTTGCTGTGTAAAGGTCTTGTCATTCAGGAGCGTGTCGTTAAGGCGCCACGGGGGTTTGCCCCTATGTTGGTAATTGTCACGTATTGTTATTGTGACGGGTGCATGGTCCGACCATACAATGGTGCCTATGGAGCAATCGAGGGTTTGTTGGAGTAGTGGTCCGGAAGCGAGTATGTAGTCGATTCTGGAATGTGTTTTGTGGACCTGTGAGTAGAAGGTGTATTCTCTTGCAGTTGGGTGAAGTGTTCTCCAGACGTCATATAGGCCATGGTTGTGTAGTAATTTTGTGAGAGCTTTGCTATTACTTTTCAGTGTGGCATGTCTGTTTGAGGTATTAGCGAGTGTGGAGTCTATGCGTGAGTCCATGGTGTGATTTAGATCTCCACAGATCAGTATTGGGGCATTGGTGTTGGTCGGTAGTTTTGCGAGTACTTTGTGTAGAAAGTTGTGTTGGTGGTCATTTGGGCTGTACAGCCCTATTAGTAGAAATGGGCTGTTGTTAATTAGGCAATGGAGTATTATATAGCGCCCCTGATTGTCAATCTTTGTTTGAAGGGGTTCTATTGTAATGGTATTGTGGAAAAATAGAGAGACTCCTCTTGATTTGGAAGTGTGGGTTGCGTGGAGTTGGAATGGGTAGTCTCTTGTCGCGAAGGTAGGGGTTCGGTTTGACACAAAGTGTGTTTCTTGTATGCAGGCTATGTCTGCTTTGTTGTTTTTTAGGTCTTCTAGCAGTATGCGTCTTTTGTGGGGTGTGTTTAGTCCTTTGACATTGTGTGTGTATATTTTCATGGTGGTTGGCGTTAGGTATTTGGGAGGACCTTGTAGGGTGACGTTGATTTTATTGTAGATCGGGTTTGCTCCCGTTGTGGGGAGGTGGTGGTAGGAATCTGAGGAGGGGGAGGGGTGGTGGTTTGGGGATGGGAGTTTGGACCTTGTAGAGTCCGGTGTGTCTGTCACACCTGTGGGGGTGGGAGTTTAAACTTCCAAGCAGTGGTGGCTTGGGCTCCCTTTTGGTAGATGGATATAGTAGGAACTGAGCATATTAAGGCATATTGTACATGTAAACATATAAACTTATAAACATATAAACAAATAATCTATTCGTATAAGGTGATAAACAGTACGCTATGTTCAGGCATTCACATCCCCAGATAAGTTTTTGTGGGGCGGCGGGCTAAGAGTTAAGCTACCCCGCTTCGCCCCGTCTGCAACCTTAGTAGATAAGTATTATGTTCAATGTAGTATTTTGACATTCAACCAACAATTATTTAATCAGTAACTCGTGGGGGCATTGCCCAGCGCCCCCAACTCAACCTATGCTTAGTCGGCGGGAGCGCTGCGCGAGCCGCCCCATGCTTATTTAGGAGGGACATCCGTCCCACATTGACGTTTGACATTTTGTTGATTTAACAAAGTAGTAATGATAATTTAACATTTTGATTAACCTTTGGGGAGTTTTTTTTTTTTTTTTTTTGTCTCCCTTTTGGTATAACAATCAGGTTGACTAATGTCATTTGTGGGGATACTTATCGTGCAGGTCCATAGCATAGTATCTGTCGCCGATCATTCAAAAGCGGACATGGCTCTGTGCCACTCCGGTCGTCTAGTCTTCCTGGGTTCTGCGGGATTGCCTAGTGGTGGGTTGCGGCCCTTTCCCTGTTGAGGTAGGTATACCCCAGGCTGTTAGTGCTTTTAGACCCTCTTCTGGGGTGGAGAGGAATTTCGTTTCTCCTTGGTGTGTGAGGATGATTTTCGTCGGGTAGCCCCATCTAAATCGAATCCCCTGCTTTTGAAGTGCAGCAGTGACTTGCTGGAACTCCCGTCGTCGTCTGAGTGTTGCCGCGGAGAGGTCCGCCATTATGCGCACCGTGGGGTAATTCTCATGTGGAGCTGGCTTGCTGCGGTGTGTTTTGAGGACTACTTCTTTAATGTGGAAGTAGTGTGCCCGCAAGAGGACGTCTCTAGGGGTAGTATCAGGTAGGTACTTGGGCTTTGGCACCCTGTGAACTCTGTCAACCAGGAGCATATCAGCCGGTATGCCCGGGGCGTAGGTATTGAGGAGGCCTCTCACATAGACCTGTAGGTCTTCTGGAAGGACGGACTCTGGGACCCCTCGCAGCCGCAGGTTGTTTCGTCTTGCCCGGTCTTCATAGTCTGCCATGCGTGCTTCCACCGCCTCCATTTGTTTCTGCAGGTTGTTTAGGACGTCTTTTGCTGTTGTTTGCTGTGAGGTAATGTTTTGGCACTGTTGTTCCACCCGTGAGGTTCTGGAGGAAAGATCCCTTACCTCTTGCTTAATTTGGTCCGCTGTGGATTGCCAGGTATGTATTAATTTATTTGCCATGACTTCCATGGCTTTTTCAAAGTAGTCTCTTGTGAGGCTGTCTTGTGGGGAAAGTGTTTCTGCCGCTTGTGGAGTGTACTCCATGCTGTAGCTTTCGGCGCCATCTTGCATAGGCAGCCGCAGGTGTTTTCAGATGCTGTGAGCCCTTTCTGGCCGAAAAAAATATTTTTGTCCGCTTTAGTGGCAGATTTCTTAGGCTTGAATTGTGACATCTCGTGCCCGCTGGTGAGAATCGTCGGTTTATTTGTGCTGTTCCTGTAATACGGTGATGTTGTGGAGCCCATGTGCCGGAGCAAAGATTCACGCGGCCATCTTGCTCGGCGGTTCGCCACGCCCCCTCCCTAGCACTCTTTTCTATGAGATTCACCCCCCAATTCCAGACATGGCTTATCCCCTTTTGATATCCTGTTTGGATGTGCCCCAAAGACAGGCCTCTATTTTCCCCAAACCCTCCAGATGCAGCATGGTAGTATGACTGCCTATGTTCAGGCCCTACACCAAAGATTAGGCAGACTTGAACCACGCTTTGACGGTCCATTCCAAGTGCTCTTGACTACGGCTACCTCAGTGAAACTAGAAGGAAAAGCCATGTGGATACACGCCAGTCACTGTAAACAAGTCACTCCGACTGATCCACCGACATGAAGCTGTTCTTATCCTTTACCATTGTATGCTCTGTTCAGATATGCTACTCTGACTTGAGACCAGAAGATAATAATGCATAGCAGGGACATATATAATTGTAGATAGCAAAGGCTTTTAATTTAACCTCCTTTTGCCTCAACCCTCTCCTTAGTACTGAAAACGTCATAGAATCTTGTCTTATAGCTGTCCCTACCCCCATCTCACTCTTGAGGAAGTACCTACATACCCATAGATCCCATAAATATCTACCTGAGTAATTAATGCTGTAGCCTGTTCCCTTGCAAAAGGTTTAAATGCCACTTCACAGGCCCTAGAAGAGCTACTTATGGACAGCCAGGCAAATAAGAAGGCAATCCTTGAGAACATAGCAGCCATTGACTACTTACTAATGAAACATGACTTAGGCTGTGAAGCTATAGAAGGTATGTGCTGTTTTAACCTATCTGACCATGGCACTATGATCCATAAACATATAAAAGATTTACATGACTTAGTACAGGATATCAAACAAGATACTGGCTTATTTGGGGATTGGGATTGGACATTTGAAGATTTTGTACTTTTTGCTATTAGCTGTATTTGTCATTATGGCTATTTTTCTAACCTTTAGATTTTTTTCATGTCTACTAACCTCTCTATGTAAAAGCAAACCTACTGTTGGTCGTACCTTAACTTACATTCCAGCTCCGACGTCGGAAAGGTTTTATGATGTTACCTCGCCTAACAAATGAAGGAACTCTCCTCTGCTGATTCTGGTGGTCTCTCAGTCCCACAGGCTTTGGCTAGCAGGCCTGGATATACCTTGGACATTTGGGTGACCCTTGGATCAAAAGAGGGGATTGTGATAGAATTTATCTTGATTCCAAGGCTCAAGCTTATAGGTGTCATATAATGATATCCTATATTAAAATTGGCTAACTTGGACTCAGGAAATGCTTGATGCTTAAACAACACTTAAGACCATATATGTCTAAGTTCCGGGAGCAGAGAGCCCCCACCTAAGATGTCTCTGCTCTAATCATTTTGTTCTCTCTTACCTTGAAACTTATTTGTTATGTGTACATGACGCTCATCCCTATGTCTTATCTGTACTCTCTTCCTATTACTGTTCTAAGAGTATTTGCACGTAAGCACTTACTTTTTAATGTATAAAACCCAGCTGATGAATAAAACGTCAGAGGCTTATTTTGAATACCAACAGGTGTCTGGTGTCTAATTCTCGCTTCTCCAAGTGCACTTGTAACAACAATTTGGGCTTCCTCTGAATATAACAAAGATCAACATTTCTGATCCACAACAGTCCCACTATAAGGGAATAAATTACACTAAAGGCTAAGGCTACAGAGATCAGGTAGGGTTCGCATGAATCCCCTCGTTCGGTTGTTTGTCTACCGAACGAGGGGCCGTTCGGTAGTTTGGAACCGAACGGACCGGGCTTGTGGAGGTCTCAGCTGTTTTCGACTAGTCGAGTGTCCGATTTGGGTTCCAGACACTCGATGGCAAAACACCGCTGTTCGGGAGTTTTAAAATGGCCGCCACCACGTGTTCGTTTCCCGAATGGCGGCCAACCCGAGAACAAAGGACCTACTGCATAGCTTGTTAATAACCCGTTCGCAACATTGTTGCAACGGGTAATTGAAGGCACACTTCACACAGAGGAGGTCTGATTGTTCGGTTGTTTCATTCCCTTAGTTTATTCGAATGTTTCTATCGAACAATCAGACGAATACACTTTATTTAAACACATACAAAACCAGCAGTTTACACGAATGCAGTTATACACATGTAATTTTCAGGACAGCCCAGTGCCATCCGCTACAACACTCTTAAGTTGCTGGTCACCTCAACTCCAGCGCTGGGTCCCCCAGATTACAGAAGACCCTTCACCCTGTTTTGCACTAAGCATGCTGGTTACGCAACAGCTGTCCTTACACAGGACCATGGTGGGAAACAGACCCATTGCCTATTACTCCACCAGGTTGGACCCTGTTGCCAGAGGTGCCCATTCCTGTTTAAGAGTAGTAGCTGCTGTTACTGCCCTACTGGACAAAGACACCGACATTGTCTTAGACAATCCTGTCATCATTTAAAACATGCATGACATTAACAGCATTCTACCACAAGTTTAGCCGAAATACATACAGACTGTAAGGCATCTCAGGATGCAGTGTTCTCTCCTCATGCCTCCAAACGTAACTTTGAAAAGGTGTATGGTGTTCAATCCATCTACATTGCTTCCCCTGGATTTCAAAGAGGGGCGTGGTGATTCTGATCTTTTTGTAAATTCCCTGTCACCAGAAGAGTTAGCTGAAGCCCAGGTACCCCATGATTGTGCAGCATTAATGGCACAAGAGAGTCTCCATTGTCTAATCCAGACTTTGAGTTTTTTGTAGATGGCTCCAGATATGCTGATGAGAAGGGCAATTTCCACACCGGATATGCTGTAGTCTCTGCATACGAGGTAATAAAAGCTGAACCACTCGCCCCTCACTGCTCTGCACAGGAGGCTGAGCTGAAGGCACTCACTGAAGCGTGCAAACTGGCCTCTGGTAAAACAGCTAATATTGGTATAGCCCATGATTTTTGGCCTATATTGCGGGCTTGTGATTTTCTCACCTCAGCAGGAACTCCAATCAAGAACTCTGAACCTGTGAGTGCACTTATGGATGCTATCCTGCTACCTACTCAAGTAGGCATCATCAAGGTAGCAGCTTACGTGAAGATCACACATGAAATTAGAAGAGAAAACTGTCACGGCAAGGGTGCATAATTTATTATTACACTATGGAATATTGTCCTTTAATGTAATTTGTGTAGTACTTGGAAGTGATGTTATTGTTGAGGTCAAAAGGGGTTACATATTTTGAAGCTGGGTCCCCCACAGAGGTCAAATGGCAGAAGTGGTAGTATGAATGTGTAGCAATGTGAAAAGGATTTTACCATATGGATGTGAAGTAATCAAGGCTCTGCAAGGTGTGAGGTTCTACACTTGGAAAAAGTCTGAATGTCTCTTCATCCATTTGGCGTGTACCTTGTAAGGGATGAGTCAATCTATTTTGATATGTTAATGCCATTAGCCTTGTTCCAGTATCATATCCAAGGGAAAGACAAAAACATTCATATTTACCCTGCAGAATAATAGTTAAGCCTCATCTTTGTTATATTTGGAATGTGGCAAGCTCCACTTCTAAACAAGTCCAGACATGAGTGGCCTAACAACCATAGGGGAAGGAATTGTGGTGTCCATCCTATCGGATCGCAAGGCCGGCATGCAACATATGTATAGAATGGGAAAATAATAAATTCATAAAGGCAATTATTATTTCTGTGGTTGGGTACATAAGAGAAGCTAGAGCCAAATGTTTCCATTTGGATTGATGTTGGTCTGGAACAAAGGAGGTGGTCGCTTATTTGTGTAGGTACGCCTTAACTCCACCCCTGGGCAAGACTTGATAATCCACAGGGTATAGATCCAATGATTTGGAAGGGTGTTGGTGTACTTGCTTGCGGCCAAAGATCTAATTTTGAGTGAGTCACCATCATCCTTCCTTGCCAGGGACCCCCTGGGCAGAAGTTGTACTTTGAAAACCTAAGTGAGTGACTCCTGTATTTTATCCTTTTTGTTTTACCTGTAAATAATTTGTCTATCATCTACATTTATGTATGCACTGTGACTTTTTTTGCTCATAATAAACATTCATTTATTAATTTCTGCCTTTGTCTGCTTAAGAATCACGTTACCTGAAGAGACTAATTAGTATTTTTGCATTTCCTTAAATATTGTGCTCAGTAAGATTTTATTATTGATTTACCTGGGGGACCAAGACACCCCATTTATAAATTGCCTTGGTGGTGGCAGCGTTAAAATAGTAATAGTTATATTATTATATTTAAGTGTGGGTGGTGTTAAAAGGGGGATTTTGTCATTATTTCCGGTTTAGTGCAGACAAATAGTGAACTTTAAAGGACCACTATAGTGCCAGGAAAACATACTCGTTTTCCTGGCACTATAGTGCCCTGAGGGTGCCCCCACCCTCAGGGACCCCCTCCCGCCCGGCTCTGGAAGGGGGAAAGGGGTAATAACTTACCTTTTTCCAGCGCTGGGTGGAGAGCTCTCCTCCTCCTCTCCGCCTCCGATCCTCCCCGCCGGCTGAATGCGCACGCGCGGCAAGAGCTGCGCGCGCATTCAGCCTGTCGCATAGGAAAGCATTTACAATGCTTTCCTATGGACGCTTGCGTGCTCTCGCTGTGAAAATCACAGTGAGAAGCACGCAAGCGCCTCTAGTGGCTGTCAATGAGACAGCCACTAGAGGATTAGGGGGAAGGCTTAACCCATTCATAATTATAGCAGTTTCTCTGAAACTGCTATAATTATGAAAAAATGGGTTAAGCCTAGAAGGACCTGGCACCCAGACCACTTCATTAAGCTGAAGTGGTCTGGGTGCCTAGAGTGGTCCTTTAACCCTTTCACCACCACAACTACGTCACGCACACTCTTGAAGTAGGGTGCGTTCATGACAGAAACCACAAAGCAGATGAAGCTGCCAAGCTATCAGCAATCCAACGTCATCCTTCTACAGGTAATACCTTCCTATAGGTCGCGCTTCCAGAAAAACTGTTATATGTTATATTGTTGAGCCTGCAGAAGCAAGCAAGCAAAGAAGAACAAGATCTCTGGAGGAAACAAGATGCAGAACTTGATGATAACAAGATGTGGAGAAAAGGTAAAAGACTGTTTTTCCCACGTGTATTGTACCCTATAATGGCTCAAGTAGCCCATGGACCAACACATTTATAGAAACATAGAATGTGATGGCAGATAAAACCATTCGGCCCATCTAGTCTGCCCAATTTTCTAAATACTTTCATTAGTCCCTGACCTTATCTTATAGTTAGGATAGTCTCATGCCTATCCCATGCATTCTTAACCCCTTAAGGACACAACTTTTGAAATAAAAGGGAAACATGATGGAATGATTTCCGTCATGTGTCCTTAAGGGGTTAAACTCCTTTACTGTGTTAACCTCTACCACTTCAGCTTGAAGGCTATTCCATGCATCCACTACCCTCTCAGTAAAGTAATACTTCCTGATATTATTTTTAAACCTTTGTCCCTCTAATTTAAGACTCAGCCACTGCCTTACCCCTTTAACAATATTGGAATCCAAACTTACAGATTGCAGTTTATTGATAAGCTTTCTATGTGCAACAGTGTCAAAAGCCTTACTGAAATCTAGGTAAGCAATGTCTACTGCACCACCCTGATCTATAATTTTAGTTACCCAATAAAAAAAATCTATAAGATTAGTTTAGCATGATCTCCCTGAAGTAAACCCATGTTGTCTCTGATCTTGAAATCCATGTGTTTGTAGATGTTCAACAATCCTATCCAAGATGAACATGAACTGTATATTGAATACCCCTTGGGTGGCACCTGGGTTTACCGTATTAGCAGCTAAGCATACCCGATCTTGCATGATTTGTGCTAGGAATAACCCTGGACAGACTGTCAAAACAGCCACTTTACCCGTTTCAGAGACTGCAGATAGACTATATTCAACTGTCTAAGGTATTAATATGTGTTGGTGTGCATTGATCACTTTTCAGGTTGTCCTGAGGCCTACCTAGTGTCGAAAGCCACAACAAAGGTCACGGCAAGTAAGCTTCCTCAACCTCTGACACCTAAAGCACTGTATAATTGATGAAGGAACATTCCTTCTGTGACCCCTGGCTTGCCCTGTCTGAGGGAACCGTGGTGAAGATTTCATAAAAGGCCCACAGGTATGACTAGCATACCTGGACATACCTCAGACACCTGGGTGAGCCTTGGGGTCAAAAAGATGGTAATTGTGAAGGACCTCTACCCTAGTTTTAGAGCCTGGCAAAAATCTATTTTACTTGTGACATTCTGTGGTTTCTGAGGAGACGATTGCAGCTGTCACCCTCATCCCCCCTTCTTATGTCCTAACTAATTTCATGTTGTTTTTTTATATATAACCATTAAAATATGCTTAGTTCTGTAAATTCCTTTTATGGTACAAAGTGCCTTCAAGCATCCTGTTTTTGTCGCACATGTCACACTATATAATCTTGTATGCTATGGCATTAAAAATCAGAAGTAATCTTATGCGGAGACTTTGAATTGTTGGCCCATTATTCTCACCCTCTGAATGCGCGGTCTGAGCGGATGACAGTTGTGGTTCTAGGGTAAGCACAAACAACAGGGGGGAGAGTGGGCAACCCTGTCATGTCCCATTACCCAAGATTTAATTCTGAAGAGCATCAACTGACTTTTTACCTTTCATCACCCAGTTGATACAATATGTTCTGTTAAATTGGGAGGTAATGTCACAATTCTGGATTATACAAAAACAGCAATAGTTAAATGTAGCGTTTCCCCAAGAGGAAGGGGGTTCTATTTGCATCTGTATTGAAGGTCTGAGCCTGGAGGTTGGAGTAGAGTGCCTTGAACACCGTCACAAACGGCTCCGGGATTCCCTGTGAGTGTAGTAGGTGAAATAGGAATGGCCACGTGACCCTATCGAAGGCCTTCTCGGCATCTAGGGAAAGAGCCAAAGAAGGAACCTTCGACTCTGTTCCACCAAATCAGACCTGCTCCACGGCGGGTATTTTCATATAGCTGCTTGCCAGGCATGAACCCTACCTGGTCAGGGTGTATGAGTTTGCTGAGCAGTGGTGTTAAGTGGGTGGACAGGATTTTTGTGAAAATGTTTAAATCCGAATTGATTATTGGGATGGGTCTGTAGATTGGGGCTAGTGTTTCATCCTTGTCCGGTTTTGGGAGGAGGATGATATTGGCAGTGGCCATAAAATGGCTGTATAGGGAAGTGAGGTGTGGTGCCAATTCTTCCCTGAATTTTTTGTAGTATGAGATGTCATATCCATCAGGTCCAGGGGCTTGGTTTCCCTTGAGGGGTGCTATGGATGCTGCCACTTCCTCTGCGACAATAGGGGCCTGCAGGATGATGACCTCCGTCCCTGTCAGCATTGGTAAGGTAGCTAGGAATTCCTGTATCTTTGGGGTGTATTCTGTGTCATCAGTGGATAGGTGTGGAGAGTGATTATAGAGTGTCTTAAAGTACTTTGTGAACACCTCATTTATGGCGTCAGGGGTAGTAGCTATGTCATCAGTGTCAGTGCGTATTTTGGCAATTAATTTACAGTTCCGTCTAGGACGCAGGGCCCTGGCCAGCAGAGTGTTAATTTTGTTTGATTTCTCATAAAATAACCTTTTGGACCAGAGCACTGAATGGGCTACCTCCCCTAGCGATATGTCTTTGATAGAGTGTCGAATGGCTGTGATTTCTGTAAGTTTGGTCGCTGTGGGGTTGTTCTTATGTTGCTGTTTGGCCTTCCGAAGGTCAGATTGTAAGTCTGCTAGTAATCTAATCTTTGTCTGCTATTTACATGTGGTTGCCCTAATGAGGTGTCCTCGAATGACCGTCTTATGGGCTGCCCATGTCATGTTTGGGTCCACGTCAGGAGTGGTATTGTTGGTAAAATATTCTAGTATGGCGGTTTTGGTAGAGTCTCTAATATTGTCATCATTCAGGAGGCTAGTATTAAGCTTCCAGGATCATGTGGTGGTAAAGAGGAGTTTTCCTAGTGTGATAGTGATGTCTGCGTGATCCGACCATGTTATGCTTCCTATGTCAGAGTGTTGTGCTTTGGCCATTCCCATACAGTTTACTAAGATGTTATCTATTCGGGAGTATGTGTCATGTGGGGTGGAATAAAATGTGTAATCCCGTGTGTCAGAGTTTTGAAGCCTCCAGACATCCATCAGGCCCGTGTGGGTCATGAATGTGTGCATCATCTTGTCCTGTTCTCCATGTGATCTCAACATCCCTGGCTTGCAGCTTTTGTGAGCTGCAGGACAAGCCACTGCATTAAAGTCTCCCCCAAATAACATTCCGCCCCCTGTGTTGGAGATTATGTTTTCCAGAGTGGACCAGTATGAGGCGTCTGGTTCGTTAGGAGCATAAACATTGAGCAAGTGAATTTTTGTGTTGCTACCTGCCAGGTGTAGATAGCGTCCTGCTGGGTCAGATTGTGCAGTTGTAATTTGAATGGGGCATCGCTTATTAATCAGAATTGCCCCTCCTGCCTTTTTACGCAGTGTCCTAGCTTCATAGAGTTTATCTGTCAGCTTAACGGGTGCCGTCCTGGGGAGATGAGTCTCCTGGAGGAGTGTGTGGCAGCCCTTCTGTGTGGTTGTGGTTCAGGAGACATGATCCCAGTGGACCTTCCTGACCCCCCTCTCGGCGGCGGGTGCAGTAGAATCTCCTATGATGTAGCCGCAGTTTAGGTGCCCCCAATTCTTCCCCCTCCCTTCTAACTTCAATGTTATAGTACAGCATTTTTAGATAGGAACAAACTTGTATATTTTCATGTCTCCTTAATTTAAGAGGCAATACTCTCCCTCCCCCTCGTGGTCATGACCCCTCAAGTTAACTTAGCTCCCACAGTTGGGTGAACCGCTGCACCCGGTGTCACTTGAATACTGTTTGGCCCCCGAGTGTCCTTTCAGGTTTTCTCTGGGTAGGATGGGCAGAGCAGGGTAAGTTGAGTCCAGTAGTGCAAAGTCCGCTGGTAGGTCAATCTGCAGGTCTTGGAAGAAGCGCTCTGGTGCAGTTACCGGTAGCAGGGTGTAGGTTTTTCCTGCCTTAAATGCAACTATCTTAAAGGGATGTCCCCACGTGAAGCGAATATTGTGGCTTCTAAGCAAGTCGGCCACCGGTTTCCAGACACGTCTCCTCTGTAAGGTGGCGGGGGAGAGATCTTGGTAGAGAGATAGTGTTGCACCTTTATAAATAAATTCATGGTCCCTTCCATATTGCAGTATGGTCTCTTTGGTGGTAAAATAATGGAACCTAATAATAATGTCCCGGGGCACCTAATAATAATGTCCCGGGGCGCCTGCAGAGCCCTGTGTGCCCGATCTATAGTCCAGTAGTATTCCATTGTCTGTTTCAGCTGGCCATTGCTGGGGTCTTCTGGCAGGCCGCGGATCCATAAGTTATTTCACAGAGATCGGTTGGATAGGTCTTCCATCTCCAGCTCTAATTCAATTAATTGTTTCTCAAGTTTCATGGAGTGGGTCACCACAGCATTGTGTGCTTGTGCCACAGCCTGTACTCGGGTCTCCAAGGCCGCAGTGCGTGTGCCCAGGGCCTGGATTTCTACTTTCACCTCTCTGTAACTCCGCACAATCTCCTCAACCAGGTACGTTTTCACCTTGGCCAATTTGTGTAGTATTTGGGAGGCCTCGCTGAGTTGAGAGTCTGGCTGTTTGCCTTCCAGGATTGAGGCTGGCGACTGCGAGCCGCGTGAGCCAGATCGGCGACCATCTTGTTAGGCCTGTAGCGTGTTTGAGGCCATGAAGAGGTCCGCCACTGTCGGAGAGTTTGTCAGCTGAACAGCTCGTTTTTTCCTTTTTGGTTTTTCACTGGAGCCCCAGGAGGACATCGAGATAAGTTTATCTGGGCACTGTGCGGTGCGATGCTGATTGCTTGTGCAGGATTGCAGGTGGATTCGCGGGAGCGGTATGTCACCAGGCAGACAAGGTAATCCTATACCCTGGTTGACAGAGGAGGGATATGTATTATCCCCAATGGGTATTATGTGTTCACAATTTGTTACATGAGTATTGTGAACAACAGGAGGGGTTGATGGGAAATGAACTATTTTACCTATGCAATACTTAGTGAATATTCCCCTAGACATACAGAGCTATAATTATATGCATTAATCTATAGATGTATTGCATAATGACACATGGATTTAATAACATATATTATCCTGTATCTACAAATACCTGGACAGGTCTTCCTCGATGGTTTGTGGTGGGAGGGGGGGCAAAGGAAATAGAGGTGCAGCGCTAGTTAAAGGCCCACCGGTGTAATTAGTACATCTGGAGATACCTTGCCTAACTCTCACCTGCAGTACCATAAAAAGAGGACTTGTCATAGATACATGTAAATAAAGGGTTAAACTCATTCTTTAAACATACCATGTTTTTCTGTTGAGAGCCTGACACTAGTTTCCACTATCGTGTATAAACATCCTGCCGTTGGAAAACATAACATTCTCTCTAAGCACCTGAAAATTTTAATTGGGTTCCTAAATCAAAGACTGTCATGTACATCAGTTATTGCCTTTGTTAAGTCTATCCATGTCTGCAGCAGTTAAAAGCAAAATTTCTCATGGCTACAATCTGCTAAAGCAGCAACTCCCTGTTTTTTCACAGAGCAAGCTGACACAGAGAAACTGACCCCGCATAGTTTAGAGAAGACGTGCCAGACATGCGCAGTAGATTAACTGTAATACGTAATGTTATATGAGAAAATTATGCTGCTTACACCGAAAATGCTATGATTGGTTGATTTTGTCTTCTGTTGGATACACCCCTACGAAAAATGTGTTCCATAAATACGCTGTACCCGAATTAAAAAATAAGTTTCTTAAACTTCATCATGACTGGTCTGCATTAATTGTACACAAAGATTAAGAAAAGGAGGATGTGCTAAATGCATATGTCCATGGCAGCTTAAGGGTTACCGACCCTGTAAAATGTTGGGGCCTAACTTTTTGCAAGTTTTGAAAAGTCCAGTCCTGATTTAGATCAGTTCCAATTTAAGGTTGGATAAAACACTACTACTGCTTATACTTATTTCACAGCACGCCATATTCTGTGCCCAGCCACCAGTGAGGCGCCAAGTTGCGCAACATCATTTCATCCCTCTCTCCCTGCTGTGAGCTGAGAAATACAACTAGAAGCACCAAACTACAGGCACCAAAAGGTGAGACTGAGGTTTCTGTCAACCACCACAGTGTCCTTTGTAACATACAATACGTACCTTCACAGCACACTTTCTTCCACGTCCAGCTGCCAGCCAAAGAGGCTTTATGTCATGCAACCTCATGTTATCATCATCACCACCCCTCCCTGCTGTGAGCAGAGTTCCAGAAGCATGCGGAGCACAGCTCAAGGCAGATGAGAAAGTGAGTTTGGGGACAACTGACTAGTGCTAGTAAATAATATACCGGTAATAAATAATATTGAAAGATTTCAGCAAAAATATTTCCTCTACACACAGACAGATTATTAATCATGTGGTTGTAGTTGAGATTGAAGGTCTCAAATATAGAGTTAATAATATGGCTATTGCTCCAGACAGCAACTCCCAGCCTGCAGAGACAGCCTACAGCTCAGAAGTGAAGGATGGGGGGAAAGGCTTCTGGGAGACATGGGGACACTGTGAGACATGGGGACACAGACATTAGGGGACACTGTGAAACATGGAGACCTCTGGGGACACAGGGACACAGACACAAGGACACTGAGACATGGGGACACCGAGCCAGAAGGGGACACTGAGACACAGGGAGACCTCTGGGGACTCTGAGACACATGGGGACACAGGGAAACCTCTGGGGACTCTGAGACATTTGAGGACACTTGGAGACACAGTGACACAGGCACACATGGGGACACTGAGACCTGGGAGCACTGAGACACTAGGGGATGCTTGGGGACACAGACACACATGGGGACACTGAGACATGGGGAAACAAACACACATGAGGACACTAAGACACTTGGGGACACTGGGAGACTAGGGACACAATGTTCCCAAGTGTCTCAGTGTCCCTATGTCTCCCAGCCAGTGTCCCTGGTGTTTTAGTGTCCCCATGTCTCCCAGTGTCCCTAGTATCTGTGTGCCCATGTCTCCCAGTGCCCCTAGTGTCTCCCAGTGTCCTCAAGTGTCTGTGTCCCCTAGTGACACTGGGAGACATGGGGACACTGACACTAGGGGACACTGGGCAAAATGGGGACACTGGAAGACATGAGGCACTGAGACACAGTGATACATTCACAGTGTACCCCAGTGTCCCCAAGTGTCTCAGTGTCCCTATGTCTCACAGTGTCCCCTAGTGACCTTAACTACTCTTCACATACTCTTGCTTAAGTATGGGAACTTAAGAGGGATAAATAGAAACAAAACTTGTGTGGACTAGCTGAAATGAAATTAGTTAAGGTAATGATGACTTTGGTCTCTCTAACACTGTGGCATATCCCCTTTCTTCTATACTCACTACATCCACCTTTTCTCTGTCTCAGACTGTATACCAGGAGCTTCTGCCTGCTAGTAAAAAGGTAAGAAGACAAGTGGACATGTGAGTGCTAGGGGACAGTCCTTAGAAAGCATGGAACGAGCGTATCATTAGATGCATTTATGCCAAGCTCAGGATGCTGTTGGCCAGCTTGCATGATTGGCAGGCAGCCTGACGTGCATTCATGCCAGGCTAGCCTTCCAATTCTTTGGGCAGACACAGGGGAGAGGGGAGTAAAAAGAGGGGAAGGGGGGAGTAAGAAGAGAGAAGGAGAGTAAGAAGAGGGGGGGAGTAAGAAAAAGAGTTGGAGTAAGAAGAAGAAGGGGGGAGTAAGAAGAAGTGAGGAGGAGGTAAGAAGGGGGTAAGAAGAAGAAAGGGGAAAAGAAAAGAAAAGGGGAGCCAAGAATAAGGGGGTAAGAAGAAGGGGAGAAGAAGAACAGGTGGGGGGAGTAAGAAGAATAAGGGGGGGGAAGTAAGAAGAACACAGGGAGGAGGGGGTAAGAAGAACACGGG